TCAATCACTTTTTTTATTTGATTTTCTAATTTGATTCAATAATATAGTCATTTCCCCATACTTTTAGAATATGTAATTTTTGTATTTTAATTCTACATATTTTTTCATATTAAATGATTTGAAATGAAATTGAGTAAAATGTTGAAAACCAAAAACGGTGATTCAAATATTTATTAAGTTATGATCTATCATATAAATTCATTTTTTAATTTCTCACCCATCCACTTTATTTGAATCCAATTTATTTATATCATACGGAGTAAAATTTATTCATTGTTTCTTTAAAATAATAGTTAAATATTCTTTCTGTGCGACGCATGGAAAGTGTTAAAGATTTTGATTTGCAATAAAGACCTTCCTTCATGTTACCAAATACGAATGTAGTTTGTAAAAAAATGTTTCAAAACTTTTAGCACTTCCAAAACTCCCCTTCTTTTTTTCTATTTTTTCAATTTATATAATCTTTTCAAGTTTTTGTAACATTTTTCCTTATTCAAAACATTGAGTAATTATATGTCAATTAATAGCCCGTGCATCGCACGGGTACGAGTCTAGTAAGTAATAAAAATAAGTGGAAGAGAACATGACCCTAGTCCTCCAAAATTTATTAGAGATCAAAAAACAAATTTCCCTAATTTTTGAAAAAATAAAAATGTATTAAACCCAGAGATTTAAAAACCGGACCGGCCGGTTCAGACCGGGAACCGGACACCAAACCGGTCCAGTCCGGGCAATTGGACCGCAAATCGCGGTGAACCACTGTAAACCGGCCGGTTTCACCGAACACAGGACCGCATGAGAGATAGAATTCAAACCATCTTTACTACGATGATAGGTGTAAACAATCATCGTTTGGATATTCTCTAATCATAATGTGTTTTATCAAATACTTTAAAAATATATATAGTTTTTTAAACTAAAATTCAAAACCCATTGATGTAATTGATATGGAGTGCATATCACTCAAATATTTTATACATATTTTAAAATTCTAGTTAAAATGTTTAAAAAAAGTCAAATCACTTTTTATTTATAAGCTCTTTTAAATAAGTAAATATTATTTTTTAATTAATGACACAACTCAAGTGAATTAAGTTAAATTATATATTTAGTCAAACATCAATTCTTTATTTATAAAAAGAGGGAATATTATTTTATTTATTAATACTCCGTATATTAGTTTTTTAATTCAATGCCACACACACACACACATATATACATATACATACATAGATATAGATATATATATATATATATATATATATATATATATATATATATATATATATATATATATATATATATATATATATATATATATATATATATATACACCCTCCGTCCCAAATTATAATGGATGTTCATTATTCACCGGATCAAACTTCATTCACTTTCTTTCTCAATTTTCATTAGCAAATTGATAAAATAAAGTATTGTTGTCACTATTAGTTTTGTAGATCTTTTGATGTATTATTTTAATATGTAATTTTTATTTTTTA